GTAATTCTCGGCAAATAGTACCCCCTTGTTAGTATACCCCCCTTGATTTGTACCTGGGGTTAATCAAGGTTGTTGCTTTTAAAAAACTGTAAAGGACCCGGGTACTCGGAAAATGTTAAATTGATTGGTTAAATATTTCGAGGATCTGATTGGTCCTAATTTATATAATACAAAGTTTATTACGTATAACGCTGACTTCGTCGCTCACCTTTGAATTACACCTTCTATGACATCATTTTACTTTGGCATGACCTAACCGAAGAAATACAAACTAAATTGGTTCCACCAAAAGCATGCGTCTTGTACACGCGTACCCTCACCTACCCAAGAAGAATCATCAAGTATTGATAGTCAAAGAACCATGTCTCAAGTGCTAGTACGTAAGGGAAAAAGACGACTTTCATCAGAATATTAAAAATCATCATATGAAAGCTATTTTTAATGAAGAGACAAATACAAACACAATTTGGGAAATCGGTTCTATGGTGGCGATGCGTGGAAACCCACAACCCCACCAAAAGCATGTCGTCTTGTGCATGTGTACCCTCGCCCTATCCAAGAAGAATCATCAAGTATTGATATGATAGTCAAAGAACCATGTCTCAAGTGAGGGAAAAGGCGACTTTCATCAGAATATTAAAAAATCATCATATGAAAGCTATTAATGAAGAAATACAATATGGAATGCAGGATTTTGTCTCGATGGCACGAATGACACGAATGGCACAAACGGTATGAATGGTACGAACGGTACGAACGGTACGAATGACACGAATGGTACAAATGGTACGCACAAAACCCAGTCAGAAAACTAATGATTTAAATGAACTGTACTTAGCTTGTAATCAGCGGATCGGTGGTTGTTTGAGGCTCCGAGGGACGGTCAATAAATATTCCCGTGAAAAATCATTCTTCCAATCCGAGGAATCAATCTCATTGTGAAAGACATAATGCGCAAATAAGGTTTTACTATTTTTCACTCAGAATCAGTTCCATGGTGGCGATGCGTAGAAACCCACAACCCACCAAAAGCGTACTCTCGCCCTACCCAAGAAGAATCATCAAGTATTGATAATAGTCAAAGAACCATGTCTCAAGTGCCAGTATGTAAGGGAAAGACGACTTTCATCAGAATATTAAAAAATCATCATATGAAAGTTATTAATGAAGACACCTTTTATTTTTAGAACTACCAAATATGAAAATCGACGACTCTCATCAGAATATAAGAAAATCATCATATGAGAGTAAAGAAAGGGAATCAACATCGCATAATCTCCAAAAAGGTACGTAAACGTCATAAAGCCGAATTCAGCATTTTTTAAACGCTAAATCATACGCTTTAACATCAGTATTATTTGTGATATTTTCAGTCGCCATCATATTTCTTCTAGTCGCATCTATATTAGACACATCGAAAGTTTTAGTATGTCTGGAGGTAAGACCAAAAATTTTTCTTACCATTGGTTTTTTTTTTTGAGAATTCGACGTATTCTAGATCCTTGCATCCTATAAAAAAGGAAATCAGATTTAGAAGTATTTTATAATATGGCAAAATTTTTCAGTTACATACAATTTACCGTTTCGAGCTTATCCCTTAGTTCCTGATTGTTAGTCGTATTCAAGGCCAGATCAAGTGTTTTCCGATAATTATCAGTCGCTTTAACTTTATGTGCTGGAAATGTATATCGAAAAAATGCGACCGGGGTTGGATCAGGACAAGCTAGCATCCAATTAATGTTGCATTCTTGCCGAGATAACTTGCACGATGATGATTTCATTTCTCGAGTACAAAAAAAAAATAGTAAGCTGAGTAGTTCGTTTGGGAAAAATTATCTAATATAAAAAAATAAAATAAAATAAAATTTTATCATAAGTAGGATTGTGAGGAATACTGCAGATTACCGATGGGTCTCTTGATTCAGTTCCTGCCCGTATTATTCATGGTTGGGTTTCTATTGCACTACCTTCTCCGACATCTACCTCTATGACCTATAGAATTTTATTAATCCATTGTTATCAACACGTTAGCTAAAGAACATTAATATGATAGTCGTTAGTGAGACATCATAGGGAGAAGGTTCGAGGGTACTATAAATTCAATTTATCGTTATTTGATAAAAAAAATTTTTTTTTTCGATGTACCTTTCAAAATCTCAGCTTATTAAAATAAAGCCGTCTTTATTTATTCTATATGATGTAACGATGTAAAATTATTTAAAACCAAGTGTTGACATAATTTTCTACTTCATTATTATAGTATTCATCATAATTTTCATCGCCAAGATCTAAAATCATGTCATTAAATTTATCAACTGACCCTTCACTAACAAATTGAGACCCTTCGCCGCAATTATTATGATTTTGATTAGACCCTTGATTAGACCCTTCACCGCAACTATTATGATTTTTGACAGATTCATTAAACTCTTCACCATTATTTTCCCCATCAATAAAAACACGAGAAGTAGACTTTTTCTTTTCAAAGGAGTCAAAATCAAAAATTAGTTTATCTTCAGAGCCATCACGAGCATTGGAGATTCCACAACACTTGAATGAACGTTGAATAAGTGCTGGATCAATATCATCCCAGGCTTTTTTAATCCATTGAGCAATAACGTTATATGCAGGCTTTTGAATTCGTCCAGTAGGTGTTAATTTTTTACATTCCTCGGCCATCCAATTATTGTATTGAGCACGAACCTATATACATGTATAATATATACTTAATTAAATAAACAAAAAAAATTTTTTAATATTTAAAATAATAAAAAATTTTACCTTTGTCTTAAATGGTTTGTTTATAGCTACGTCTAATGGTTGTACGCGAGAAGTTAATCCACCAGGAATTACAGCCAAGTCAGTTTTTTTTTCTTTAAAACGTCATGTAACTGAATCTACAAGATGACCACGAAATGAATCAAGCACTAATAAAGAATGTGGATCGACAGAAAGTGGTGCACGACAGTTCCACACATTTTCAATCCAAAATAACATTTCTTCGACATTCATCCAACCCTCTTTGTTTGCTCGGATTTTTACTCCTGGTGGAAAGTCAAGACGTGGTATATTTTTAAGTTTAAAAATAATTAATGGAGGTAACTTAATTCCATTTGCCATACAACCAAGAACAACGGTAAAATTTGATTTCTCATATCCACAAGTTCTAATACTAATAGTACGAGCTCCAGTTTCAGCAACAGTAACGTTACTCGGCATATCAAATGAAAGAGGCGTCTCATCCATGTTGCCAATTAATTTTAAAGGATATTCATATTTAATTCGTTGAAAAAGAACAAAACTTAAAAATTCATGTTGTTTTTCTTCAAGATCTTGAGGCATTTGTTGCGCAACAGTAGTACGGCGTCGATTACTTAAATGATAACGGTTCATAAAACCATCTAACCATTTATGACTCCAAACAAAAGTTGAAATATCCGGATAAAGTGATGAAAATTGTTGTTTTTGTCCTAAAGTTTTTGCTTTAATTTGAATCATACTACGTGTAACTACTTTAAGCTCAGCTCGCAAAGCTTGTATCCAATTATTCAACTCAATTTCAAGTTCGGGATATTTTGGACGTGCACCAGTATTTAATCGTCGAATATGTGGACGTACAAGCATTAACTCATTTTTTTTTGAACGCCAATCACGAAATTGTTTTGGTTCAATTTCAAAAAAATTTGAGGTTGAACGAATACTTTTTTGTGTTTTTTCTTGATAGGTTATAATAGCAAGTTTTTCACGAGCATTCCAAGTACGTCGTTTTTTTTGTGTAATAGTTGATCGTGCAATACCAGATTGAATACGTGCCATATTTTTTAAAAAAAAAAATAATAACGCGTAAATATTTTATATATTTAAAATAAATACCCCCTATTTTAAATATCCCCTATTTTAAATATCCCCTTTTTAATATACCCACCACTTAACAAAGTATCCACTGGATACTAATTAATATTTGACCCCTAAAAATGTAAGAGACCCGGGGTACTATTTGCCGAAAATTACGGTAAT